ATCAGGAAAAGTTGACACTTCATTCGTCACAACTCATCCACTGAGCTTCACCTCAGTACTGTTCCAACACATTTACATCCACTGCTGCTCTCAGGTTATTCTTTTAAAAACCAGCGTTGATTTCAGACTGGCAGAAGATGAGAGTAGGTTAGAAGCGTGATCAATAATGTCACAAAAATCCTATAGATAGCACCCAGCAAGGCTGAAATCAGAAGCCACACAGATTACTTTTGAAGTAAGATTATCAGGACGTTCTATGTAACTGAAGACTTGACCTTGATCATTTACTCATGTACACTTTATGTTTATTAAAGTTCGGTTAGAAATAAAGACACAGCTTGTGATCCTTGATCCCTTTGTAATTAAATCTCCTGCTGGATACCCTGCTGGACTCTCAATTAATGGTAACATAAAAAGATCAAAACTTTACCTTTACCTTTCCTACTTTCTTCCTCTTGCCTGGATACTAGCAACAGTTGTGCTTAAGCTAAATGATTGATTTATACGATTTCATTTATATAGAGAGAACTTCATTAATGTATCACAACAATAAAAAAAAAATCACTTAAAAATAAACCTCAGTATTTAGAGCAATGCTAATCCCTTTGTTTTCTATCAGCATGCCCGCTGACAACCTCAATACTTCAATATACATGGGCAACAGCTAGAAAGTACCTCTCGATACTCCAGTTGAAATGTTGGCTTCTGTTGCTAGAGATGTACAGCCTTTAAAAAAGGGTGAAGATCAAAGAGGTCATTGCAAGTATTTAACAAAAACAAACAGAATTTAAGCTCCTTAATTCCTGCTTCCCATTAACAAAATACTTCTGCAACTTTCCAGTTCCATCTCGAACCCCGCCAGCAAACTGAACGATTTAGTTAGTCCCTTAAGTTTTGACTCTCTGGGATTCCTGAATGCACAAAATCCCAGACAGATCAGGAATAAGATCTGAAACACTGGCCTTAAACCACTACACTGTGCCTGCTGGAGTTGTCAAATGAACAGGACAGCACTGAAATACAAGAAAGAGATGTAGGAAAAGCCAGTTTCAGATTTAATCCAGTATCTATGCACCAATACAGATGTTTTTGACTGTGGTCTGTGGTAGGCAACTGAAGGACTGTCCAGCCACACAGACTTCCTTTTCACACATCCTGCAGAAAAATGCACCTGGAGAAATTAATGCATGCTAAAGACTTTTACAGAGCCCCTTCTCCACAGAAGCAACATCCATAGCTGTGCCAGAGACACTATGTAAAATATAATCCATGTAATTATGTGCCGGAAAGAAAACAATCCATGAGAGCAATAGCAACAAAAAAATCAGAGATACTGATGCCAGTCAAGCGATTCAGGTACTTTTCGTAACCTTGACCCATGCTAGTGAACAAGCCAGAAGATACAGTTTGTTTTCTGTTAAAACTCTTCCCACGCCATGATGATTACGGCTCTCAGGACCACTCCTGCATTAGAATCAAGTTTGTTGAGGGCCTCTGCTTTATAGGGAGAAACTGAACCTTCATCCCAGTTATGTGACCAACAGCAGCGACTTCCCTCTTCCACCACCCTGCTTCTTACAATCTCTGCTGGCAGCAAGAGAGCAGCTAATATTAATACCTCACCAAGATATTTTAGGAATGAGGAAGTGGGTTTGAATACCTTTACTTCAAATCCACATGACGATATTAGGCCACCGACACTACAAGGTAACGCTGTCTTTTATAATAGCAATTAAGTGCCAACAGTCATACAAACCTGATAGTCGTTTGACCTGCCGCCTGTTTAAATACTGGCATTAATTGTATCGTGCTATGGTGAACTTCCACTGAGCTATATTGAGGACCACTTCACTGCCCTATCTCTGCTGGCCTTAGCTGCGAGGCCTCATGACCGCCCTGTGGCGCGCGCCAGGAGCAGGGCCAAGTTTGAGGGCCAAGAGAGGCCATTTAGCCACATTAAACACAAGTAACACGAAGATCTGGGTGAGAGATACAATTCTCAAGGGGGGGAACCCACCAAACAAGACAGGAGCTGGCTGCATCCAGAGGAAAGGCTGAGCTCGTGTCCTGGCCCAAACCTGCAGCTTATGATGCTTAGCTCTAGTCCTGGAAACTTCATTGAACAAAAAATAATCAGAGACCACTTAAATAGGATACGCTAATTACAAAAACACAGCAGTTATTACTGAAAGAAGTGTTTTCCAGTTTATCTCTTTTGATCTTTACATTGACTCTTTTAAAAGGCTTGCAGCCTCATCATTATAAGCTGTGACCTCCTACTGACCACAAGCTTAGCAGAGGCAGAACAGCCAATTTTTACAGAAGGGGTAAATAAAAGCACAAACAATTTAAGGAAGCAGAGACTCAGGAGCGGAGCAGAGACTCAGGAGGTGGCCATCTCTATTTAAGTACACTGACTTGAAGAATACAGTAATTCCTATCCCTGTACTCGTCATAAGGGGAAGTACCATCTTTACTATCCCCCACAGAACTACAGAACTTTGTTGCTACGTGCACGGGACACCTCAGGTTCCCAGAACACCTTTCAGAACTGTAATGTTATTCATCTGGGCAATCCGGTAACTACTAGTTAGGATAAATTGCACTCTAGCTCTGTAACTGGCTTCCAGGAACTGGAATTAGAGATATCATTTATTGCTTTCTCCTCCTAAAAGTAGCTTAGCAATGTTGCTGATAAAAGTAAATATCAAATGAAGTAACATTTTTGTAAGGCAGGTTCTTCAATTGTTTTTGTTTATTTGCCAAAGCTTGCACTCTACAAAGAGCTTTCAGAATGAAGCTCACGCAAGACTGAAAGAAGTAAGTGCTCTTCATTTTGCATCTGAGCTACCGGTTTAAAAGAGGAACAGAGCATAAAAGATGAACTGCCAAGGCCTCAAGTATATAGGAGTGTAAAACTTGGGGGAAGCAATTTTTCCTGAAACTAGTCAAATGTAGGGAGATCCCCTAACAGGCCTCTGCTTCCTGGCATTTATTTCACAGAGATGAAATTTGTTATGGGGGAACTCATGAAATACTCTTCTCAGCTTTTTGAAAATAAGCTCAAGTAGTCCACAGAAGGAACGTCAAGTTAACACTTTGAAAAAAGGATTCTGTTCATGGGTGGTATTCATCCACCTGTGGCCATGTCACAAGGCTGCTGTCTTCCTTTTGAAAAATAAAAACATCAGAAATACATATTTTTGTATTTCTACTCACATTTAACAGCTCTCTCAGATGGGCACCGAGTCATCAATTAACAATACACAGAAAACAGAAACTGATCTCAAAACGTACCTAACAAGCACACTGAAAGCAAACAGGAAGACTAAATATTTATCTTCCAAGGTTGCCAAGTGTTCCCCCCCACCGCCTTCCTTAATCTATCCACCTGTTCTTTTTGAAAGGGATCCCATTTGCTTATACACCTGGCCAGGTGAAGAGGGGGAAGAGATACAAGAGAGGCACTGGTGAAGTAACAACGTTGTCATGAACTCATTTGCATTGCAAAGAAATAATACAGCAAGCGCCACATAACTGTGATTTTTCCATGGGCTAAACTTGACCTCAGTGTAGTCCTCCTCCTATCACATAGTGAAGAGGAGTTTTAAATCCAAAGTATTATATATTAAATGGAGAAACATACAGAACGGTGGGAAAATAAATTAAGCCAGAAGACTGAGGAAATGAAGCCTCCAGATTCGGGATGTCACAGGCTGATCTAGAGACACAAGAATGATTCAATCCTGCTTTCTGCCATCCGTGTGTTTCTAATCTAGCATCAACATCACATATTTGTACATAAACTACATTCTCTTTTAATGAGTCCTAACTTTAAAACTGAGTTTCTTCAAAGTCAATGTGCTTTCAATATGCTTGTGATTTAAAATTTCAGGCGAAAATCAGTTTCACAGCAATACAAAGTATGGCAAGGAAAGCCACTTTTCCCAAGTCAGGTTACGTACTATAGCTTTAATCTTGCTTCAAGAACAGTTCTTAATACACGAAGCACAGCATAAACTGTAATATCATGTAGCAGAAACTTCAGGCTGTTTATGAAAAATAGGTAAAATCTAAAAGCTTCCATGAATTAAAGATCAAAATAATGTATTATTTACAACAAGCAACGCTTTAAAAGATACAACTTTATCCCCAGGCCTGCTAGTTTCCTGTTCCTTCCCCTTAGAGTTATATTTGCATGCAATCTTTCCTCCAAATTTTCCATCCTTGCACCCAGCTCTATCGCAGCGTTAGCGAGATCTGTCGGCAGGACCATACGCGTAGGCTGGCTTCACCAGCTAATCCTGCTCTGAGCGTGGCAAGGCAATGCGGAAAGCAAACGGTTACAAACCTGGCTGCCAGCTTTGGCACAAATTTAACACAGCCCCACAAACTCAGGCCTTATTTGACAGTCCCCATATTCTGCAACAAAGCTTCCATTCAAGCGAGAGAGGAAGCTTGCTCCTTATTAATTTAGCCATCCAGGTTACAAGCTTCCAGCAGACTGACGTCAACCATACCCTACTGCACAAGTCGTAGCACGTTCTAGTCGTTCGCTGTTTCCACTCGGTCCCTACCACGTTTAAAACTCTGACCAGAAAAATATTATCACAGTGGGTGAGTATTGCACACTAGGATGTCTTATTTTCCACACAAGCGGTTTCTTCTTAAGGCTCTCAACACATGGAGTTGCAAGAACACAGTCATTCACTCAAGCACTCTTTACGGAGGGGAAAGAAAGGGGGAGGGCGATTCCTGCACTGACAATTACAGCATTGCAACGTGTCACAAAACCTCTTTAAAAACATCTACTCGAAAGACATGAAGTTCTGTAACTAACTTGAGTATTGTCACCAGGCATTTACAGTACAACTGAATGAATATAAATAATGCATAAGGATAGCAAAGAGAAAACAAACAGAATCCCTGAAAATGGGGACGGGAAGTATTTTATGTGAACAGTAGGACAGAAGACCACCGTGTTTAAACTTTATACTCACATATAATGGAGCTTGCTGTGGATTAAGTTTCATGACCCCAGAACACTGAAAGAAAAAATAAAAGACATAATTAAGATATTCTTCATAAAATTCGATGTACTTCTTTGTAAGCTGCATAATGTTACACTTCCAAAGCTGTATTAACACCCTTACATTCCTTTTTTAATGGTCACTTTTACACAACAATTTTGTATTTTATCTCCTTCGGACCAATAAAGAATTGTCCCAGTCTTATATTTAGGCTAATGTTATGCAAAGACAACTTTGCAAAATGATTGGTACAGCAAAGCACTCTTCAGTCCGAGCAGCTGGAAAGGTTGGCACAGAAGATACTCTAAATGAAACTCTCTTCCTTTTCATGCTCGTCTCAGTTCATCTTTTCTCCTGGCAATGCTTGCTCCGTATCTTCTTTTCGTGGCAATTACCAATCCTTAACTACTATCTGTCTGCTCATTCCCCCGTCCTGACATCAGCGTTTGAACAGTGCCCATTAAGGAGAAACGAGCAAACAATATATGTTTGTAAAGATTTTTAGTTCTCCCAGCAGTGTAGAAGATGCTCTTCGTGAGAATCTCACTAGAATTACTGTCCTACCAATCTCTGTCAACAATGTCCTTCCCTAAGCCCAGAAGCTGTGTTTGTTTATGAATGAGCTCCCTCCCTTCAGTAACAATTAATATCGGTGGTCATTTGGGAATGAAATGGTAAACAGACAAAAATCTATTAATCTGGCACATGCTACCTTCCAACAAAATTCACTCGATTCTTTGCTCAAGAAACATTTCAAAATCATATAAAATCAAACTATCAAAAACATTCCTTGCAAAACTGAGGCAAAACTTGCAGAGCAGGTAATGTTCACAGTTCTGCCTAAGCCTTTTTTGCAGTCAAAAACTACCATTACTTATCCTACTACGGTGATTTCGTCAAGAAACTTTCCACTTTCAGGTCTACCCTAGAATTTTTATATAGTACCTGCGGGAAGTTATCTGTATTGAGCTCTGAACCAATTGAGTCAGGATTTCACTTGTGTTAATTTCTCCACTGCAGTAGCAAACACTTATCTTAAACGAAAGCTTTAAGTTCTCATTTAATGCGTGTATAGCAGTCCAAGATCCTAAGATGAAGGAATGCAAGACAATTAAAAATGGAATTTTTGTTGTTGCTCGTGTCTGCAGTACTGGTAATTCTCTGCAAGTACTTCAAGCTCCTTTTAAAAGGAGATGAAATACCACTCTGCTTTTCACACAAAAACACAGGATCTTGTGCATACTTTGTTCCCTTCCAAACCCCACAGTGTGCCTTTAGTGAGACAGAACCGCAGCAGAAGTTTCCTTAGCTGATTCTAGCTCTTCTTTCTCCTGCACGTTTTCCTTATTTTACATAAAGAAGCATTTTTGTACTAGTTACTCCAAAACGTCTCAGCTACTTGCCAAGCTTGCTCATCAAAACACAGCACCTCCACAAAAGGTCTTAAAAGGCAGCCAGTGGATAGATGAACATTTTGCTACAGTTTCTAAATCAAATTCATAGCTATTTTCAATCTCAAAATTCTTCTTCCAAGAGCAAGAATGCCTCAAAATGGCTTTCCCTTCCTTCTCAGCTCTTAAAAAAGAATCACTTGCTTGTGGAAGTAGGGGACTAACAGCACCAGCTATCCAGGTGAGCTCCCCAAAACAACTCTGCAAACAATCTTCAACTCTGACCGACAACAAGATCCTGCTATTCCAGGTCTACAGACCTCTCAAAAAAGAAGAAAAAAAACGCACAAGCCCTGCCAGTCTCCCTTATAAGGTACCTGAGCCTCCTTCTCCTATTTTGAACCAAACAAAGGAACCAAAACACTATCCATCTGGGAGCTTCTGCTGCATCTTACAACTATCAGAGTAAACCAGAATTTAAAAAAAAAAAAAAAAAGTTTAAGTTCACCTCAGATTTCGATTTTTACAAAAGAAGTCTCATTCCAATGGACCAACTCCCTCCTGAAGCAGAATTAAGTCCTCATATCTGACTCAGCAGCTTAGTAGTACTCAGGTGATATGACAAAATTAACACTGCAGCACAGAAGCAAAATAGCTGTCTTGGATGAGAATGCTTAAAGGGATTTAATACAAAATATTATTTTCTCATTATTTCTTTTCGAGTCTTGACAAGTACATGAACAACTTTTCCTTTTGCTGATAAAAGATACTAATATAATATATCTTTAAAGACAACGTAAATTTTTGTATTTATATGTACTATTGGAACTATTTCTTATCCTTACAATTCAGTCATCATTCTACACTTGCAATATTACAACTGCAATTACAATTGTACAATTACAACTGTAAAGGCAAGTGCAAGTTAAAGGATGTCAAATGAAATATTAAGGAAAACAGAACATGACAAGTTTGTATTTGCCCAGGACACCACAGGCAACACATACATTCTACTCCTTAAGTTTCTCTCCGTTCCCAAATACTCAGTTTTATTAAATTTTCAACAGCTATTTCAGTTTCTCAGAACTTTACGCAGAGGAAAGGAAGTTATTCTAATGCACTCAAATATATTCCTCCTCCTTTCATCAACTAACATCTCTACCTTTTCCCTGTTCAGGTTCACAGGTGTTTTATTGTCACTCTTGTCATTTCAAAACTAGCTTCTGTGATTTGAGATTGAATTACATCTCCATTTATTCAAACTGCTAAAGTACCAAACACGCACATTCAGCAAGGTCACACCCAGATTTCAGCTACGGCTGTTTGCTTCGCTTAGACAAATCCACAGGGAATCAGTCAGCTTATCACACTAAATACAGTATTCTCACCACTGCCTCATCCGTCCTGCTCTATTTTGTTTGCTCTATCCAGTCACCAAGTCAACGCTTCCAAAAAATCCAACCCAAAGCCTCCTGAAATAAACAGGAAGGCCCTAAATGCGAGCCTGGGGCATGTGCCTAATGCCAGCGCACCTGCAAAAAGCAGAAAAAGAATTTAGCGTGTTCTGATTTATTCCCTCCTCCCCGATGTAGGTTTGCAATGCACAGGAGACGCTGACAGAAGGAATCAGGTATTTAGATAGCTGGACCTTTTCTCTCCTCTTCTCGACTGCTTCACAAATACTTTAGCCTACTTTTTCCACAAAGACACAAAAGGTCTTAACACCAAAATCAATCCCGCTGTCTCGGACACTCAGGTTGCAATGCCATGCACTGATCAGCTGCAAAACCCTTCCCTCTTTAGAGGTTCTTCTGCAAGATGCTGTCCTAGCATCTGTCACTAACGTTGATCATACCTTTATAAAAAGGGATAAATCATGGTTCATGCACTCCATCCTAAGATCTACTCTGTCAGGCTTATCCGAAGTGAGAAGTTTCGTTACATATCGCGCAGATACACTCAAGCCATTTTAGCTTTAAGTCCCAAACTCTGTCCAACCTCCTTTCAGGAAGTTCTGCAGCAGACCTTTTTATGGAGTAGACAATCTGAGCGATTATTCTTCCTCTTAAGATCAACGCTGGAAACCAATAAAAGAAGCTTTCCCACACTGTCACGTTTAAGCTGAGAGCTGCACCGAAGGTAGCAAAGCTCTGTACAGAATGGCAGCAGCAGAAGGGTACCCCACGAACAGAGCATTTGGGTTTCTGTGAGATTACATCCTCTGATCTCCATCCACTTGAAAGAAATACAGACAGTTTTGTACAAATCCATCACCTTTCCAGCAGGTGCCTGATAGCAGCTGAGTAAAGAGAGAAGCGGGAAAGAGGAGACAATCTTTTGGGGATGTGCAGATCAGGAAAGGAGGGGATGATATTCAAAACTCCAGTGGGTAACTTTGTTCTCTCCTGTCTGCAAATAAAAGAGTAAATTTGGAAGATAATATAGATAACAAGATAAAAATCTTTTAAGAAAGTCCTTTGGCAAAAACCTACGAGAAAAACGGAGTGACAAATAAGCCTGAAAGACTACTTTGTGTCAATAAAAGATTAAATTCAGATTTCTAGACAAGTAACTTTTCTCCAACCAGCAGGCAGGCAGATGGTAGCCTCTGAAAGTTTTCAATACAGTAAGAGAAGTGAAAACAAAAGCAAGATCATACTGGTCATTATCAAACCAAGACTCGTAACAACCCTAATATAATCAGTGAACAAGCTGGGGTTTCTTAGTTTAAAAAAAAAAAAAAAAAACCACACACACACACACACACACACACAGACAAGGCTCTTCGATACTGAAAGCTAAAGAAGTTCTAAACCATTTATTCTCCCACATCAAGATTAAATAGAGGGAGTACATCCTTCAGGTCGATGCCTGCTCAGCATGTGAGCTCCAGAAAAGAAATTCTATCATTTTTGGACAGGTAGCACAAGACCTGCTTTCTCAAATAACACAGATCACGGAGGGAATACCTGGCCCTTGTACTGCAAGACCAGGATGCAGACAGTATGTCAACTGCCATGGAGGTCAAACTAACAAGAACACACAAATACAGATCCCATTGCTATCCTCGTTTTGAAGTCTTCAGCTTCCTGGAGTTTAGGTTGCAAAGAAAGGGAGAAAAATTGCGTCTATTCTTCCTTCTATGCCTTCACAGACAAGGCAGAGATGGCAAAGAGTACATACAAGAGCACCACGCATGAATTCTAGCAAAAAAACCCTAATATAGAAGCTGATTTTATGCATGCAGGGCATACACACGTACCCTGCAGCGAGAACACACTGATGCATTCTAAAAGAGACAATTGTTGCATGTACTTAACCTAGAAGTCCATTTACCAAGAGAGAAAGAAAATGACAATGCCAGTCACAGCCAACCTGGAAGCTCAGTTTCCTCCTCAAATGTGATTTGTCATGGCATTGGAAGAGGCAGACAATGAAATTAATCTGAACGCGGGCTCTTGAGAAAGCCTCCACCGGACTGCAGCTGCCAGGAGTGACAGCACGCAACGGCGACGGCTCCCAGAGATGGGCTCCATCAAAGTCCTGCTGTCATGGAGACGGATCCTAGCAACCTGGCCGGGCTTCTGCCCAGCAGGGAAACCAACTTACAGGTACCCTCAGGTT